TTTGCTTTGCTTCTGTCTCTTCTGTGCTCTTTCTGTCTTCTTGTGGGCCTTGGTGTCCAAAAACTCTCAGCTTAAGTTGGTTTGCTTTGTTTCTGTCTCTTCTGTGCTCCTTCTGTCTTCTTGTGGGCCTTGGTGTCAAGAAAACTCTCACCTTAAGTTGATGTGTTTCGTTTCTGTCTCTTCTGTGCAATTTCTGTCTTCTTGTGGGCCTTGGTGTCAAAAAACCTCTCATCTTAAGTTGATTTGCGTTGTTTCTGTCTCTTCTGTGCTCTTTCTGTCTTCTTGCGGGCCTTGGTGTCAAGAAAACTCTCACCTTAAGTTGATGTGCTTTGTTTCTCTCTTCTGTGCTCTTTCTGTCTTCTTGTGGGCCTTGGTGTCAAAAAAACCTTTCATCTTAAGTTGATTTGCGTTGTTTCTGTCTCTTCTGTGCTCTTTCTGTCTTCTTGTGGGCCTTGGTGTCCATAAACTCTCTTGCTTTGTTTCTGTCTCTTCTGTGCTCTTTCTGTCTTCTTGTGGGCCTTGGTGTCAAGAAAACTCTCACCTTAAGTTGATGTGCTTTGTTTCTGTCTCTTCTGTGCTCTTTGTGTCTTCTTGTGGGCCTTGGTGTCCAAAAAATCTCATCTTAAGTTGATATGCTTTGTTTCCGTCTCTTCTGTGCTCTTTGTGCCTCCCATGCACCGCGTAGTGAGGCAAGTGGTGCTGTGGAATGCCCCCGACTTTTTTAGCATTTTCTCTGTCATTGTTGTATCCGATGCCCTTGTGGAAAGTCGGGGCCCAGTTTGTCAAAAAACATTGCATTAATGATGCCAAAAAGTCTTATTTTTTGCTGTGTTTTACCGTGTTTCGTTAACTTCAACATACTGCCTCAAGACACCCAAAAGTCTGCAAATCAAAATCTCGAAACTGTCACCAGCAAACCAGCAAACCAGTCCGGCAAGCAACGGAAAGCGAAGCGAGCGGGCGCGGTCGCGACGTGCAGGTTTTGTTCGATGCCGGACAGCGGTCTTTCCCAAGTGACGATTCGCCAAGTTCACTAATGGTTTGCTTTGTTTCCCTCTCTTCTGTGCTCTTTGTGCGTCAGGCGCTTTCCATCCTTTTTGGGTTACTCTTGGTTCTTTGTCTTTGCGAGCCTTGTTGCTAAAAAACTGGCTTTAAGCCTCAATGTGATTTTAGACTGTTGGTTCTTTGTCTTTGTGAGCTTTGTTGCGACAAAAACTGGCTATAGGCCCCCATGTGATTTTCGTGTTGTTGGCTTCGTATTTCTGGGCTTCCTGGTTGGTTTTCCAATGTGCTTTCCATGCTTTAAGTTGGCTTGCCTTGTTTTCGCCTCTTCTCAAGTAGGTTAGCCTTGATCGAGCGCGTTGTCTGCCCAAAAGCGTGGTTTCATACTTTTGGGGTTGCCGTGTCAATTTTCCCAGGTGCTTTCCATTCTTTTCAAACGGGTTTGCCTTGCTTGTGTCCATTCTGTGCTCTTTGTGTCATCTTGTGGGCCTTGGTGTCAAAAAATTATCATCTTAAGTTGATTTGCTTTGTGTCCGTCTCTTCTGTGCTCTTTGTCCCTTAGGTGCTTTCCATTCTTTTTAAAATGGGTTAACCTTGGTTCTTTGTCTTTGTGAGCCTTGTTGCGACAAAAACTGGCTATAGGCCCCAATGTGATTTCGTGTTGTTGGCTTCGTATTTTCGGGTTTCCTGGTTGGTTTTCCTATGTGCTTTCCATTCCTTTTAAGTTGGCTTGCCTTGTTTTCGCCTCTTCTCAAGGAGGTTAGCCTTGATCCAGTGCGTTGTCTGCCCAAAAGCGTGGTTTCATACTTTTGGGGTTGCCGTGTCAATTTTCTCAGGTGATTCTTTTCAAAAAGGGTTTGCCTTGCTTGTGTCTATTCTGTGCTCTTTGCGTCTTCTTGTGGGCCTTGGTGTCCAAAATTGTAAATCTTAAGCTGATTTGCTTTGTTTGCGTCTCTTCTGTGCTCTTTGTGCCTTAGGTGCTTTCCATCTTTTTTACATGGGTTACCCTTGGTTCTTTGTCTTTGTGAGCCTTGTTGCGACAAACACTGGCTCTAGGCCCCAATGTGATTTTCGTGTTGTTGGCTTCGAATTTTTGGTTTTCCTGGTTGGCTTTCCTATGTGCTTTCCATGTCTTTTAAGTTGGCTTGCCTTGTTTTCGCCTCTTCTCAAGTAGGTTAGCCTTGATCCGGTGCGCTGTCTGCCCAAAAGCGTGGTTTCATACTTTTGGGGTTGCCGTGTCAATTTTCCCAGGTGCTGTCCATTCTTTTCAAAAGGGTTTGCCTTGGCTGTGTCCATTCTGTGCTCTTTCTGTCTTCTTGTGGGCCTTGGTGTCAAAAAAACTCTCATCTTAAGTTGATTTGTTTTGTTTCCGTCTCTTCTGTGCTCTTTCTGTCTTCTTGTGGGCCTTGGTGTCAAAAAACTCTCACCTTAAGTTGATTTGCTTTTGTTTCTGTCTCTTCTGTGCTCTTTCTGTCTTCTTGTGGGCCTTGGTGTCAAAAAACTCTCATCTTAAGTTGGTTTGCTTTGTTTCCGTCTCTTCTGTGCTCTTTCTGTCTTCTTGTGGGCCTTGGTGTCAAAAAACTCTCATCTTAAGTTGATTTGTTTTGTTTCCGTCTCTTCTG